ACGCTTGTTGAGTCTAGCCCAAGGCAACACGCCCGTGAAATGGCTATGAAATTGCATGTCTCTCATGAAAAAATACGTAAATATCTAAGGAATACGGGAAACTTCATAAAGAAGGTGTTTGGGTGCTTCACAAACTCTCCAATAATCATCGTTTCCAATGCTTCGTCTCTTCTGGCGCGTAATGTGTGTGAACAATTTTTGATCAGAATTGTCACCAGTGGTGTAAAATGGATTCTCTATGCGAATATTAAACGCCAAAAGCAATGGCTCAGTCATAGACGAAATCCACTTTCGACCCCAAAACCTGGATTCCATCTGCAGAAAGTGGTGTTTTGCATTTGGTGGGACATCAAAGAAGTAATTCATTTTGAACTTCTCGATCCACAGCAAACTGTCAATGCAGAGATCTATAGTAAGCAACTAGAACGTTTAAATCAAGCCCTGCATCAGAAATGCCCTTCATTCGTCAATCGGAAAGGTGTTCTTCTCCACGACAATGCACGCCCACATGAAGCACGTTTGACGCTACACAAGATTATGGAGTTTGGTTGGAATATTCTCCTCCACCCACCATATTCTTCAGAAATGACACCATCAGATTACCATCTTTTTCGTTCGCTGCAACACCATCTTAATGGAAAAACGTATGAAATGTAATTCACTTAACAGGGAGCTAGCTAGCTTTGTCCTTCGTTATTTACCAGCCACACACGCCGAATTTTCCAAGATGAATTTATATAACGTAAAAATACTAATGTCAGATGAAAATCCACTAAAGTTAAATGATTTAGAACGTTCGAACTTTGTAAATACTCCTGGTCAAACATCTGAAGTTTTCCGATTGATAAGCTTTATAACAATCACAGTTTATAGCACACTGACTTAGCAAACTTATAATATATATTTTCTTTTTGGCTCGTGGCGTTGGTTATATTTATAGTTGTGTGGAGGTTTTCTAGAAAATTCAGATTACGTAACAGTACAAATTTAAGCATTTACGTACACACATATATTGTTGATTCTAACTCTCGAGAATCTTTTATAACTTTCGAGAATAGGCGGGAGTTTCGCAATACATATTTAACACTATAAGCTGTGCATATTTCTGAATATAAATTTAATACAAACAAACGTTGATATTAAAATAAATTTATAATAATAAATTCGTTACATAAGTCTCTTACTTTTGTGAAGAGTTGATAACAAAAATTTTCAGCTATGAACTAGCTGGAGCAAAATCTTGAGTTGATATTCAGAGAAAGACCATTACGTTTAATACGTACTAGACATTATAAGAACTTGTGAGTGAAAGTAAAGAAGAATGTAATAATACGTAAACCACACTATAACTGTTTTGGTTTGTTTTGAATTTTACGCAAAACTACACGAGGGCTATCTGCGTTAGCCACTCCTAACTTAGCAGTGAAAGACCAGAGGGAAGGCAACTAGTCATCACTGCCAACTCTTGGGCTAATCTTTTACCAACGAATAGTAGGATTGACCCTCACATTATAACGCCCCATAGCTGAAAGGGTGAGCATGTTTTGGTGCAACAGGGATTCGAACCCGTGATCCATAGATTGCGACTGGAGTGACTTAACCACTTGGCCATGCCAGGCTCTATAACTGTCATATCCACTGTCGACAAAGCTTTTCTTGAATACCAGGGCTCAGCAGGCCGGATGGAATATGAGACATATTTATAACATAAATTGCTTGAGCAACAACTGTTCTAGTGGGGGACAGACCAATATTCCAAAACAATTCTGTCACCAGTACTGGAGTTGGCTATATTCTTCTTATTATTATTCTATTTCTGTAGTAATAGTAATAATAATAACAATAATGATATTATTATTATGAAAAATTTGACATAATTTGTCAAAAGATTAGAAAGTTTTCATTACGGGTAACAATAATATAGGTCTCTGGAATGATTACAAATACAGTGCCTTGCAAAAGTATTCACCCCCTACCTATAATATCCCATTTTCACGAAATACAAATGATGTAAACAATTTTTAATGACCGTGTATTTGTTCAAAACTCTAATGATCAAATTTCACATTGTTATGTGTGAAGGAGATTGAATGTCAACAGAACCTGCAAAGAAAATATATGTATTGAGATTTGATGATTGCATAAGTATTTGGTGGAAGCACCTGTGGCAGTAATTACTGCTGTGAGTTTGTGTGTGTGTGTGTATTTTTATAGGTCTCTACC